GGGTCGACGTTACAGCCACAAGGCACAAGTGTGTCACCCGCGACAAAAACAAAGAAATATCAACACAACACAACACAAAGAGTCAACAACAGCAACAACAACAAGAAGAAGAACCCCCGCCCGCCCCAGCCCCGAATTGGCAGCAGCAAGGGCGGACGGGCCAGCATATGGGGTGTCATCTCAGGCCTGGTGCTGGCACAATAACGAGGCTTGGTGGGTGTGCATGTTACAGGCAAGTCATTGGACCCAGTCGTCCGTCAAGACAAAGAACAGTAAAAAATAGTACAAAAACACGATTGTGTGCTGGCACGTGATTCTTGTGTCAACAAGTGTGTGTGTGTGCGTGTGTGTGTGTGTGTGATGCTTGGATGGCTCGCGCGCCAGAGCAGCAGGAGCCATCTGCTCGGGATATGGGGGGTATGAAAGACCAACGGGAAGAACGGGCGCTGCCAGGTGGAAGTGACGATGCCAAGAGACACGAAAAAGCAAAAGGAAGTGCAGCGCACGGGAGAAGGACAAGTAGACGAGCTCGGCCACAGTCAGCAGAGATGGTGAGGAGCAGAGGGGGGAGGAGGAACAGGAGGACGATGGACGATGGACGGAGGGCGACAGTGGCTTTGTGTTTGGATGATGGGGATTCATTTCGATGTGTAAGCTAAACAAGGGCTGAGCAGGTGCAGGCGAGCTCACCTGACACAGAGGCCAAGACAAGGCTCTTTTTGATCAAAACCTCAAGTGGCTGCCAAAACAGAGAGGAAAAAGATGCACAGACAAACAGACAGCGAAAGGCGGGGGGGGGGCATTGAGGAAGCAGGTGAAAAAATGATCGTCGAGCGAGAATGGGGGGGGAAATCGGGTTGGGCAAAAAAGACTGGTCCAGCTCGGTCAGTGCTGCCGGCCAAGGACACACAACACGACGTAGGCGCTGCCTGCTGGCAGCAAGGCACAAAGGATGCTGACAGCGTTATGTCCGTGTTGGTAAAGGCAAATGCTGGCTCGATGCGTATGTGTGTGTTTGGCTGAAAAAGGTGTGTGTGTGTGTGTGTGTGTGCATCGCGTGTGCCAAGGTGAGCACAAGTTGAGAGGAGGCGGTGCGTCTGTTTGAGGAGCAAGAGTCGCCGGAAGTCGCCGGAATTGAATATACCAAGAAGAAAAAGAGTTGGCTGGAGACTTGGACTGATGCTTGGGGTGCGGGGTGGGCAAGCAGAGAGGTCTCGAGACAAAGGCGGAGCCATGTGGGCAAGGCGAGAGAGATGACACGCTAACCCTGATGTGTGGTGTCTGCTGCTGTGCTGCGGTAATTCTGAAAGGAGAGAGAAAAAAAAATCGCCCACCGGCCCCGAACTTTGCTTGGCTGGGTGGGTGGACTGGCACAGCGTGGGAGCGGGTGCAGGCTGAACGAGTGTGCGTGTGTGGTCGGGGCACTCCAGTGAGAGTGCCAGCACGAATAGTAACTGTGTGCATAATGCGGGGGCAGGTCAGAGCGGGTGGCAGCGCTGGGAGAGGCATATAGACCAAGTGTCCTGCATACAGGTGTAGCTCGTGTCTGTGCCGTCAGGAAGGTTTGGGGGTTGGCTGCATGTGTATCGGTCTGTGTGTCTGTGAGTGAGGGTGTCTGTGTCTGTGTTGACGCCCTGTGGTGTTGGCTGCTCGGAAGACATGATGTTTTGGGTCAAATCCGACGGCGCTGCCATTGGTCTTGGACAACAGCTGCGTCGCAGCTGCACAGTTCGGACTGGCTGGCACGAGCGTGTGAATGTTGTGTATGAGGAGGGGGGAGTGGTGGGGGGATGGCTGGACCTTGAACCCAATAGAACGGCCAAATGATCTGTCTGTCTCTAGCTCCACCCGACCGGCCGACTGACTGACTGACCGACTGACCGATCGACCGACCGACGCGACCAGCGCTCACCTGCCACAGCTTGAAAAAAAAAATACAAACAAATCCCTCAAGGCAGGAACAGGGAGGTGTGTGTGTGTGAACGCGTTAGGAAAGAGAGGGAGAGAGAGGGCGGGAGGGAGGTGAGAGAAGTTGAGGGGAGTGTGAGAGCCGTAAGAGACAGTGATAGACTGTGAGAATCAGCGAGAGAGAGGGAGAGAGAGGGCGAGTTCACCCATGCACCAATGCACAGTCTTTCAGAGATGAGGGCGATTGCGACTCGAGGCCAGAGAGCGTTTGGATTCGCCCAAAACCATTCAGAGATGCAGAAGGATCAAGAAACAAAAGCAGAGAGAGAGGGAGGAAATCACAATGTCAGAGACAACGGGACACTGTTCGTATGAGTGTGGGTTCATGTGGGTGCGTGTGCGTGTGGGTGGGTGGGTGCGTAGGGGGACGGCGTGCGTCCTTCGGATGCTGACGACGACGACCGTTGGGGGTGAGTGAGGAGCTCCCTAACATCATCAAAGTGCGTGTGTGTCCGACTCTGTCTCTCGCTCGCTCTGTCTCTGTGTCCCTCTCTGTGTCTCATCGCATCACATCTCACTCACGCTCCGTCCCTCAATTTATACGAGAAGCGCGCGTCTTGTGCTTGCCCCAATACTTTGGTTGCTTCTGGATACTCTCCCTTACTCATTCATGCAGGGTTGGGCGGCCTGTCAAGGTGTGGACAAGCAAGTAGTCGTGTGATGCACGCTGGAAAGGACAGCGGGACCATGAACGCGATGGATGGACTGGAGCAGAATGACCATGTCAGATGGCGTGGTGCGTAATTCTGTGCGTAGTGTTGGGTGTCGGACGACGCGGTGCTTCCTCTGCCTCTCTTTCTCTCTCGCTGTGCATCCAGCGGCACGGCCGTACAATATTGGCCTCACCGCAGGGGAAGCAATGCGGTGGCAGCCAAAGAGGCCTTTGCACAAGGTTTCATCATCGCTTCCAACCCCAGTAGGTCTGTGGGCTGGAGTGTGGGTGCGAGGCGGTTGTGGTTGTGTGTCCGGGTCAAGATGTCGTCAGTACGCGAAGATGGAAGGAGCAAGACAAATCTGATCAGGCCAAGAAGCAGGCGCGAGAGGGCGAGAGGGTGAAAGGGCGAGAGTGCGACAAGGAGGAAGGGTCGGTCAGTCGTTTCAGTCCATCGGTCCAGATGCTCAGATTGGCAGATGAACCAACGCATGTCATCAGGTCCTCACCATCATCACCTCATCATATTATGAGTTCATTTCAGCAAGCAGGAGCGCAGCGCAGAGTTTGTAGGAATCCATGCACAGCGCATTGACACATACGACTCGACCATACAAAACGTCAGTCAAGGAGTCGAATGAAAAGTAACGTCAACGCAACGACGCAGATGCTGCACACTGGCTCGTCGTTGTTGTGATGCTATTTCTTAAATTTACAATAAAATTATTAATTTTTTTTTCTGCATCGCACACCTTTTTGAGTGCCGCCCCTCTCGCATCGCTCCGGGGGTCGGCTTCAGCCCAACAGCTCAACGGTTCAAGACCAGGCCGTATGATTATCATCAAGGAATCTCCTTTCACTGTCCGGGTCGCAACATACGGTAGGGCACGGGAGGGGTGGTGGTCGTCAAGGCTGGAGACACGGAAATGAGGGTTGATCGGCACACCTCTCCGCGGACAGATCTGTTTCTCCGACCTCTTGGATCGTCATGGGGTGCTTCTTGCTAGGGTATCACACTGACGTGCAGCGTCAATCACACGATGGCCAGACGATCGCGTTGTGAGATCGGACAACTCATAGGACTCGAATCGCTGTAAACTTTTTGTCACGCAGATGGGTTGTGTTTGACACGTGGTTTGATTTCTTTGGTGTCAGAAAGGTTTACGCATTGTTGTGGGACGAGGTGAGGAATTGATGGGACACGCAGAACTTCAGACGGCCCCGCACGCAACGATCTCACCCAGCTGCGGTGACGTAAACCAATCGGGTCGTGGTCATGGGCTGTGGGTGTGGGAGTTTGTGAGAGAGAGGGGCAGTCGCGGGCTCCAGGGCAAACACATTTTGGTCAAATGGCAGCGGGTAGAGCCTGGGTCGGTCCGATGGCATAATGAAAAACACCCGACTCTTCCTTGATTCATAAGCTCTACCCAATGCGACTCGTCTGCAAATCAGAAAAAAATAAGAAAAGCGAAAAGCGAAAATGTTGGCTTGCTCATGTATCCCAAATGCCCATGACGCGCAATACTTGACGGAACTCACACGCGTTTGGGACATCTGATTAAAACTGTAAACACCCACAAAGATACGTTTTGCACACACACGACGCAGACTCGAGCACTCGTGCACGGGGCTCGACCCCATCCTCCCCGAGCACACTTCTTGGGAATGACTTGGCAGCCTCCACATTTGGGGTTGCAGGGTCCTGCCGACGGGCACATATGAGCGTGCCATAAGGACCCTTACGGACCTTTTGCCTTTTTATTCTTATCTTCTTAGGGCCAGGGGGTGTTTTCGGAAATTGATTGCGTTTTTTCTCAGGTAGGATGTGTGCTCCCTTGCCTAAAGTCTTGCTTTTGCCCCCAATCGATCATGTTTGGCGGCATGAGACATGAGAGAAAAAAAAGCGACCGGCCGACTGACCATAGGCACCCAAGAAAAGGTTCGTCAGTGTTGCCACACACGACGCCGGAGCCAAGCTTTCTGCCAACCCCGCCTCCTTGCAAAGAGTCGGCGAAGTGTCGGTGCCTTGCTGCCCCGAACTGAAAGTCTGCCGAACAGTCAACAGCACACGAACACAGTGATCAATACCAAAAGCGAACAGCACACGAACACAGTGATCAATACCAAAAGCAAACAGTACACGAACACAGTGATCAATACCAAAAGCGAACAGTACACGAACACAGTGATCAATATCAGTCTCATATATACGAATACAGTGACCATAATCTTGAGTAGTTTAAAGTGTAACATTTATCATTCTTCCACAACCGACCGTCATGGTGCGGTTCAAAAATCGGTAAAAAATTAAAAAAAAAAAAAAAAACGGAAAACGGCAGCCGCCCTCTCCCCCTCTTGGGACTGGGCCTGCTCGACTGTGGATGGTGTCATGGTCAGGTTGAACAAGAAGGCTTTGGATACGGGACATGACGCTGGCATCAGCGCTGCCCTTGTGTGTGTGTGTGTGCCAATGATCAACGCCCTCACCCCGCCTCTCTCTCTCTCTCTCTGTCTCTCTCTTTCTCGCCCCATGGCGGGATACGGCTAGCTACTTTTTGGTCGAGCTGTGCTGGGAGCAGAGCCCGCCATCACGGGCCAAGCCCATGACGCCCAAGCGGTTTGTAGATCTTGTTCGCGCCCTGTCTTTGGTCTGCTGCTCCGTCCTCAATGTTGTGTCGCCTGTGCGCTGTGCTGAATTACTCCCGCTCCTCCTGCCGACTTGTCAAGCACAGGCTGGTCGAGGCTCTTCGAACGGCCATCATCAAATACCATGGCCAGTTTGGACTCGGCTCAATCCAGCACACCCTCAATTGTACGCCCGGTTACTTGCGCCCGACTCCCCTCGACCCGAGGCGTGAAGCATTGTCTCACAGCTCGCGCGCGCTTTTCGCAGGTAAATATCTCAACATGGCCACCGGCGCCGCGATTCTCCGGTGCGCCAAAGACGTCGAAGAAATCTTGGCCACCACAATGCCTCTCCTTCGCCGACTGGGCGACTACGACTGCACCCTGCGGACCCTGTCTCGCGCTGGTGAGCACCCCAGCCCTGTGCTTTGCCCATCCTTCAGAGCACCACCATCCCTCACCCCCTCTCCATATCCTCCCCTTGCATCTCCAATCCTAGGCACCATCGCCTCTTGCCGCAAAGCCCTGCTCAGCTTTAATCGCACCAAACTGGAACACCTGACCAAAGCTCTGCCGCCAAGTACGCCTACTGCCCAATCCGACCCCTGTTACTTCTCCGTTCGCCCCTTCTATCACCACCCCTCCTCACGCAACTTTTTTTTGAACCATGACGCCCTCACCAGTCAAAAAGGCTGAACTCGAGATGCAAGCCAACATCCCCCTTCCCGACCTCTCCTGACACCGCACCCCTGTTGGCCTGTTTGTTTGTGTTTGCTTGCCTTTTGCGGCGCTGAGCGCCTCTCTTCCAGAATGCTACCCTTGGCCACAATTGGTTGATCTTTGTGCTTCTTGTGCTTCCTTCTTACAAGTCTGCGTCAGTTCTGATCCAAGTCGTGTGGGTGTCGCGCTCTGGTCATCAATTAATTGAGTGTGAATCGGTTCATCTGGTCACTGTTTTTTTGGGCGCAACGTGGTGGCTAGACAGCCACCCACACCACCACTCCGGGTGCAGGGACAGGCGTCTACAGCATGAGCGCCCCCACTGATGAGTCGAGCTGCACCTCAGGTGCATCTGCCGAAGCCTCGGCTTGTGCCTTGGCCTTGTCGGCTCGCTGCTGCTTTTTCAACTGCTTTTTATAGGCTTTACTGACCCTGGCCGGCCTCTCATGCACGCCATGACCTTTGCCTTTACCTTTGCCCTTGCCCTCGCCGCGGTCCACCGCTGGTGCAGGGTCCGAGGTTTCTTTGGCCGGGGCCGTGTTCTCCGCCCGGCGCCCTTCGCTGGCAGAGTCGGCTCCCGCGTGAAGATCGTTGGCTCCGAGAAAGATGCCCTTGTCTTGCTTATCATGACTGCCCGAGCTCACGTGCTGCAACGCATCGTAGTGCTCCCAGTCGTAGTAGATAATGTGCATTTGACGAGCCGCTGGGCGGTTGTCCGCAGCAGCTCGCAAAATCCACACTGGCTTGCCCACTTGATGTACAAAGACATCTACCTGATAAGCCTGCACAAAGGCCACCAGAGCCAGTTGATCGCCATAGACCCGATCACGCCCCATCTCCGCCACTGCAGGAAGCGGGTCAGATTCATCCCCGCAGGATGAGATCAAGAGAAGGGAGCCCAAGCGGGGAAGAATAAGAGGTTAGAAAACAGGCCTAGCCCATCCCGGTATCCAGGCGCCCCGCAAGCGCACATGCGTTGCCACACACTTTCCCTGCCCCAACTTTTCCCGGCCCCAAGACACCCATGCAGGTCAGCAAGCGCAGAAAAACGCACGGTAGTCGTCAAAGGAGGTGTCATCCTCCACAAAGGCCTCGTAGTCGGCCCGGTGCTCACTGAGGTACTGCACAACCCGCGCTCGCGCCTCGCCATGAGCATGCTGCGTGCCCTTGTACTGGTGCATCAGGGCCCTATCAGCGGCGCATGCACACATCTGTCATCCAAACGCGGAAGAGACCTTGCCAGTCATCGTCTTCCAAACACACCCACCATGGCCCTTCCCCTGTTCGAGACCCTCAACGCGACCACTGACCTGAACATGCAGTTGCCATCGCCTTCAATGTCGACGACCTCGAGACCCAACTTGCCGACCTGCTCACGCAGCTGCCGCTCCTCTTCTCCGCCTTGCCATTTGTGACGATCCATATGATGGGCGCCCAGGCGCCCCACCTTGCCGTGCTTGTCGCCATGATGATGATGCAGGTGGGGCAGGTGGGGCATGTGGTGGTGCTTGTGCTTGTGCGCATGCTTGGGGTGGTGATGCTTGCCCTTGCCCATGCTCAACCGTGCCAAAACGCGCGCCCTCCCACCAAGAGGCAGCGGCGCAGATGCACAAACCGGACCGACTCCAGCCACAAGACCACAGGGCAGAACCAGCGACAGCGCCGAGACAGAGCGGAGACAGAGGGGCCGGAGGCCTAAACAGGCGATCGGATGTCAAATGCACCACAAGCACTCGTGTGTGTGTGTGTGTTCCTTGTGCTTTTCTATCTGACTTTTTCTCTTTTAGAATTTTTTGATATTTTTTCATAATTTTGGCAAGTTTTTTTTTGTGCACTTAACCCAAGTCTTACTTGCGACGCCCACATGGTGGTTCCCCTCTCATGTTTGACAGTACAGCCCCTAGGCCATGTCTGTCTTGTCGGTTTTGGCTTTGGATGGTTGTCCACGTCCACTTGCCAAGCAGCAACCAAGCGAACACAAGCAGAGAGCGTTGGAGCTGATGATGTAGCCCAGGAATGACCGACTGATGAAAATTTTGTGTCGCAACGAGGCTAGGATGACCAGTGTCAACTCTGAATTTTAACTTATGCACAAGGTTCCAGTTTGGGAATGGCTCATTTTCTTGCCAGAGTAAACATGAACAACCACAAACAGCGCACTCGGCACGCCCCTGGGCACTGCAGGCAGACGGCAACGAACTTGGGTGGGAACAAAACTCGTCACAACCAACAACACCGGCAACCCGCTACAACGACAGCAACTCTTACACGCGGGCAACTCTTACGCGTGGGCACCTCTTACGCGTGATCAAACTTGGACATGGCGCTGTAATCCACCGAGCTGTGAGGCGTGTGATGACCCCCCAAACCAGACGGCGTCAGGATACCGCTTCGAAAGCTGGAATTTGACAAGCTACGCAAAGAAAGCACGGAATTCAGCCATCGCAACGTGAGTGTCAACTACGCGTTTGCCCATGCCGGCCAATCTCCAGCGACCACGTTCCTACGTACATTGAGGCGTCACTGCCGCTGCGAGGACGCGAGACACGAGCCTGGGCACGCTGTGGCAAACGGGAATCGAAGCATGACTTTCAAGCACAAGGCGGGGCGGGGCGAACAATGGAGTTTTGGAACGCTAAAAAAGTACCTACCAGGCCATGGGTACTGGGCGAGCTGGAGAGGAAGCCAAGAGGATGACCTCCCGAGAACGAGTTGTTGCTCGAGGGTGGAACCAAAAGGGGCGATTCTGTGCGCTGCAAGTTGAACTGCCGTTCATCATCAATCTCATAGCTCCGTTCCATCTACACATCACACAAAATACGTTAAAAACAAAAACAAAAAACAAAAAAATAAACGCGGGGTGGTTCTGGTGAGCCCACTGCTCGATCCAAAGAGGAGTATTGCGCGAACAATAGAGGGTGCGGGGCGGAGTTGGTGGAATCCAGATTCAGGTCCTCACCTCGCCTTGAGAGCGGGTCAGGCTCTCCACCTGGGATTGAAGATGGCGCACTTTCCGCTGAAGGCTCTTGTTCTCCTGTTGCAAAGCCGTCACATCCTCGAGCCGGGCAGCTGCAGGCATGCTCTCAGCTCGGCCCGCCGCCTAGACACACGATGATGCATGCAAGGGACCAATCATGGTGAGCCTGCAGCCATCCCAGCAGCAACTCGTCTGACCAGCGGGTACGAACAGCGATGGTGCGCAGCTCAAACACCGTCCGAGGGCAGAGGCGAGGCGCATTGACACGTACCACCAAAAGCGCACGCAGGCGCAGCACTTCGTCTGCCAGCTCGGTCAACAGGCTTGAAGACCCATCCAGATGGCCCTGCAAATAGGTCGGTGCAACCAAATGAGCATACGTGGCGCTGAGTGCGCTGCCGATTAGTCGTGGAGCGGAAAATGGCTACAGGACGCACCGTTTCCGAGTTGAGATTCAAGGTGCGGTGTTGCTCTTCCAGGAAAGCCTTCTCCTGGTCAAGCTTGGCAGTGATGCGCGCTGCGTCTCGCTGCAATTGCGCTTCAAGATCCTGTTTCTCCTTTTTCAAGCGCTCCATTTTGTCCTGAAGTTTTGAGAAGGCGGTGAGCGAAAGCAAGGGGGAGTGGGCACCGGTGGTGGCAGACGGATCCGGTGTAAAGATGAACCTTGAGGTAAGCGTGCTCCTTTGAATCGAGCTCGGCCGCTTGAAAGCGGGCTTCAATGACCTCAATGCGACGGGACATGATTTCTTCCAAAACGTCATCCTCCTGGGGGAGTGCGCGCGTGAGGTGCGGTGCGGTGCAGTGCAGTATCAGATGTCCTGGTGACCTGCGGGGGCTAAGAACAAACAGACCTTGTTCAGAAGAACTCGGTAGGCGGCGCAGGCTTCACGGAGCCGGCGATTTTCGCGGTCCAAACGTTGGACGTCGCGTTGCAACTGCTGAGCCTGAGGCAGGAGGCGTTCTGTGGGCAAGGCGGCCAAATCTTCTGTTTGCAGTACTGCCGAGGCCAACGAGGAGTGGGACGACGAAGATGATAGCGTCCCTGTCCGTGGGCGTGTATCCACGGGCATCAAGGTGGAGGACATGCTGATGTTCTTTGGGTCGAGGCGCCAAAGAATGCGCGACAGGAGCCGATACAAAATAAAAATAAAAATCAAACACCTAAAGGATGAAGACGCATCGCCGCAGACATTGAGGGTGAGCTATGCTTATGCACACGGGGCGATGGATGGCACCGGCCCTTGTAGGCGCTCGGCGTTCGGTCGCGATGCCGGAGCCCAAAGTCCCGCAACACTCCAAAATTTCGTCGGCTCACAGGAAAAGGGCATCCGAAACTCTTGAGAACCCCCGCGAGCTCACCTGTGACAGTCGTAACTCTTCCACAAGATCCAAATACACCTGGCACAGGCCGTGGCTTGATTTGCGTCCGGTTCTTACGTCTCTCGCCTCTTGAATGTCGAGATGTACACGAGCATCAGGGGCGCTGCCCTTTTGATGTATATTGCAGAGAGCAAGAAAAAAATACGAGAGAGAGAGAGAGAGAAATGTGTACATGATGATGAGGAGGTGAGAGAAGTGTGCATTTTTTAAACGACATTGAGAGAGATGTGGAAGGACCGAGCAGATTTTAGAGGGATGGGCCTGCTAGCGTGCTATCCGAGAAGAGTTTGCAGGGAATGACAGTGTTGATTAGAGAGGTTGATCGGGCTGTTGATCGTTGCAGAGAACGTGTGGGCTTGTTAAACGATACCAGAGGTTGAGAACGTCGATTCACAGGGTAAAAATTGTCATCATCCGAAAATAGACGACGAATCGCGCGCGCGAGAAATGGCAGTTTGAAACCCGCAAAGGCAGTCGAAGCCAGAGTCGTGCCAGTTCAACCGTGCTGCTCAGCTCTACTACAACTCAGTCGTGCCTATTCAGCTGTGCTGTTCAGCTGTACAGTCAGTCGTGCCCATTCAGCTGTGCTGTTCAGCTGTACTGTTCAGCTGTACTACTGTTCAGGCGTGCCTATTCAGCCGTGCTATTTAGCCGTGCGTGAAAGCAGCTTTGGAAATAATCCATGAGGCAGCTCTTAAGCGACACTGTGAACGGCTTTGATATGGATGTGTACTTGTTCGTGAGTTGGGGAGAAAGGTTCATGTGAATGTTGCGTGATATCGTCAATTCCGACAGATGGACCGGGATTGTCGTTAATCAAAAAGGGGAGAAAGAGATTGCGAGCTGCAGGGCTGACAGACACGTTGTGACTGGAAAGGGCCCCGGCCTAGCTCGATGACGCGCGTCAACTCAGCGTGACTAGACTACAGTAGATTCCAGTCAATGTTGCGATACCAGGCGACGGGAATGGATGAGGCGCTGACAGATAGAATGTCAATGTGACCGTCTTGATCGAGGTCACCTGTGGCGAGGCCTAGGTATTCATCGTAGGCGGCCACAAGCATGGCCGAGCTAAAGGCCGCCCCGGCGGCAGCGTGGCTGTTGCGAAACCAGCTGACAGTGCCTTCCGAGGATGAGGCCACGACAACATCCAGGTGGTCGTCGGCATTGACGTCAACTAGCAACAGATCAGTCCCTTCATACAGACCATCGGTTATAGTGCGAGGGGTGGCCGCAAAAGATCCGTTGCCCAAGTTGCGGTACCAGACAACGGCTTCCTCATCGGGCAGCAGGAGTGCCAGGTCCTCGTGACCGTCTGCGTCCAGGTCACCCGTGGCGAGTTGTTGGACCGCACTGTTTGCTGTGATGGCAATGGGGCTGGCAAAGCTGCCGTTGCCATGATTGGGAAACCACCGGGCACCGATTGAGCTAGACCCAACCACCACGTCAAGTGCGCCATTGCCATCGACGTCAACCGCTACGACACATGCGGCATTGGTTACGGGCAGGAAAGAGGGGGCCGCAAAGGTGCCGTCGCCCCGGTTGGCAAACCAGGCCACGGTGTTGTTCGATCCCCCTGCCACCAAGACGTCCAGGTGCTGATCCTGGTCGAGGTCGGCGACGGTGATGGAGTGACCACCGATGGCGCTCATGCTCAAGACGAGTGGGACGGCAAAACCAGCGTCGCCGTTGTTTTTGTGAAACAGCACGTGGCCATCGACCTCGCTGGCGCTGAGCAGGTCGACCCAACCATCCTGATCCAGGTCGGCAGCATACACGGCACTGGGGGTGGTGAGGTTCAAGGCGACCTCGATGGCGGGGCCAAATTTCCTGGTCCCAAGGTTGCGATACCACACGAGCTGCCGTGAGACGGGGCAGGCTGCGATCACATCGGGCCAGCCATCATTGTCCAGGTCTGCCACGTGTACAGCGGTGGGTTCCGAGAGATCGCGCGCCACAATCTCCGTGGCCGGGCTTTGCCAGAGCAAAAAAGGGTCGGCTTCCACCATGGCATTCCATGCAGCGGCGGCCGTGATGACACGTGGATTGCCGTTGACGTAGACTGTTTCAGCTGTCACGTTCACATCCTGCGGCGAGGCAATGTGCAGGTTGCCCGCCATGTCGGTGGTCACGGACGGAACATCGGCTCGGACGGCCACGATCGACCACAATGCTGCCAATGCCAAGCAGCCCACGTACGGACCAGGCCCGCATCTGGTCTGATACGCCATCCTGTCAGCCGGAAGAGAGAGAGGGCAAGCTACGAGCAGGCGAGGCGGAGGAGAAGAAGGAGGAGGAGCAGGCGGAGGAGCAGGGAGAGAGAGATTCGAGAGATTCGAGAGATCCGAGAGAGAGAGAGAAGGAAAAGCGCAACTGCAAGCTCAACCAACTCAGGAAAAGAGAATGCCTGTGAAGGGGGAGGGGCACAAGCATCGCCAAACTACCATATGAATACAAGGGGACGCTGGGGGCGTGGGGGCGTCGAACGTCACGGAAGCAACCAAACGCCAACGGCGCAAACGGAAAGAAAAGTAGAGGAGGCAGGGGTAAAGGACCGCGTGTTGAGGAGCGACGCTCGTTTCCATGTGTGCAGCGTTCAACAGAGTCGTGCCCAGAAGACTGGGCCCTGAGATGCGGTTGCGGTCTGCATTAGGAGGTCGGTTCGTCAGCGATGAATTCGGCTCGGCAGGGGAGGAGTGTTTCACGTTTTGGTAGTGGTGGTGACATGGGACGGTGTGGTATGATCCCATAACCCACATCTTATCAGGGAGACTGGCTTGGCTCATGTGACAAAGTTTGCAACAAAAGAAAAAGAATCAGATGAAAAAAGAGAGAGAGAGACAGAACGAGAGAGCGAGAGCGAGAGAGAGTTTGAGAGAGAGAGAGAGAGAGATTTATTGGTTTGGTCAGTTTGAGAAAGAGAAATACATGTAAAGAGCAAAGGAGAGGAAGAGAGCGAGAGAGAGAGAGAAAGGAGGGAAGAATCTGATGCTAATTGGCTTGAGCAGGGGCAGCGAAGCTTAAAACAGCACGCTGGATAGAAGGAAGTGGGAGGGTCGAGAGAGAGAAGAGAGAGATAGAGAGAGAGAGTGTGTGTGTGAGACAGAAAAAGTTTGATTGGAACAGCGATAGAGAGAGAAGAAACGCCCAAAGATAAATTCGAGAGAGATGGATCAAAAACGTTCTTCGGGGCGGGGCCTAAGATGAGAGAGGAGGGTGCTAATAGTCCGTTGGGTTCGTTCTTAGGAGGGCAGTAGGGAGGCCCAGTTGTCGTTGCGGTACCAGGTGACAAGGTTGAGGTCGGGAATGGTGGCTACTATGTCCGGGAGACCGTCGCCATCGAGGTCGGCGGCATGGATGGCCTCCGCGCCGGTGACGGCTTGATCCAGGGAGAGGGGCTGAGAAAAGAAACCGCCGCCATTGTTGCGGAACCAGATAAACTTGTCATCCTTGTTCGAGGCCACAAGCAAATCCAAGTCATCGTCCCCGTCCAGATCAACCGCCTCAATTGTGGTGGCGGCAATGTCCGTTGACAAGGTGCGGGGCTTGCTAAAGGTGCCATCCCCCTGGTTCTGAACCAGGTAGAGGCCGCCGCCCACTTCGCCCTCCGTGCCACCGAGCACGTCCACGTCGCCGTCGTTGTCAAAGTCGGCTGCCAAGACACTGAAGAAGCTCTCGTACTCGGGCTCAAAGATTGAGTAGACGGGCCCATCAAAAGCCGTTCCGTTGCCAGCTCGCCAGACCAGCCCGTCGTAGGCCACCCAAACGGCGTCGGCCGTGCCATCCCCATTCACGTCTCCGAGGGTGAGCCAGAAGGCGCCGTCAATGTCGGTAGCAATGTGGCGAACCGCAGAAAACCCCGCAGCACCCTCGTTGCGAAACCAGCCCACCAAAGCCGAGGCGTAGCTCGATACCAGCACGTCGAGGGCCCCATCATTGTCCACGTCGTGCAACACGAGGGATCTTGGGCCAGATGTCGTGTTTGTAATCACGTGCATGGGAGAGAGAAATTGACCCGCCCCCAGGTTTTCGGCCCAGAATATGGTGGCCGTGTCCTCCCCCACGCCGACCAGGTCGAGGTCGCCGTCATTGTCCATGTCCCCTGCGAGCAAGGACGTGGCCGCGTACGTGCCCGTGGTCACGACCTGTGGGCTTGAAAAAGTGCCATTGCCCTCGCCCCAGAAGATGGCCACCGTGTTGTCGCTTACACCTCCGACCACCACGTCTTGGTGCCCGTCCCTGTTCAGGTCGGCCGCCACCACTGTCGTGGGCCCCAGAAGCGTGTCAGTGAAGGTGCGCCGCGCAGGTTGTTGCCAAAGCAAGTTGGGATTGCGCAGCAGCACAGCCCTGAACCGCGCCAGACCCCGGCTCACATCGACCTCGTTCATCACCACCCGCCCCGTCGTGCTGTTGATGTGCAGATCTTGAACCGCCGACACGTGAAGCGCTTGATTGGCGTCCACCGTCAACGCCGACGGCACTGCCAGCGCGCCTGGAATAACCAAAATACAGGCCATCACCAGGCCGGCCAGCCTTGGCCTGGCCAGCACGCTGCGCGCCATGCCAAAGGTGTAGGTCTCTGCCGCTCACTCGGACCAGGCCGTTACACGCCTTGAGCCAACAGAGCCACACCAAAAAATGGAGCTTTGTGCCGACCGAGAAGAGCGACGAGTGGTGGCACAAATGGGATCGAGGCGAGATCAAGACAGGCAGGAATGCTCGTCCTCGCGAGCCTTCTCAAGAAGGAGCAAGGCCGTTCTATCCAGTCGTCAAGTTGACGGATCAGCACAGCTCAAAACCTGCCAGGACCAGACCTGCCCAGGAAGACCGAGCGCGCGCGCGCGCACAAGACCAACTCCTTCCAAGAGAGAGCAAGAAAAAGAACAAGAAACTCCTCCTCTGTATTGTAGGCATTTTCAAGATATATCCTTACTTATGACATAATGAGAGTGGGTGTAGGGATATCGTAGGGATGACATGTGGGGTATGAAGGGATGGGATGGGTTATCGAGGTTCAAAGTTTGGCTCGGTCAACCTCGTGATACGGTCGTACGGCAGTGGTGGTGATAGCATGGCCTTCGTGGGAATGGCAGATGCCCGCCGCTGCTGCGGGGCAGGAACGGATTGGAAGAGTGCAGGAACGGGTTGGAAGAGTGCAGGCACGTCTTGTGGGCGAGGGCATCGGTCAATGGCGCAGAGGCATGAAGAGGGCTGGCCCAGACAACAGCTGGTGCATGGTTTTTTTCAGAGTGTAAGTGCGTGTGTGTGTGTGCGTGCGTGCGTGCGCTTCTGCGTCAAAGGGCTCTGGTGCTTTCGTTGTTATGGTAGAGACCGTGTTAAAACGGTCGTGGCCGAGGGATCTATCGGTGAGGGGAAACCTTGCCAAAAGAGATCAATGAAACTATCAATTGAATGGTCAACCCGGTTTAGATGCAACGCCGAGCGTTAGGCAGTCGCCAAACGGGTCTCGCTGAGGTTGGCCCAGCCATCGTTGCGTATCCAGAAGATGGCATCATCGGAATAACTGGCCACGACAACGTCTGGATGGCCGTCCCCATCCACGTCCCCGGCTGCGACGTCGTAGGGCAACTGTGCCCCGCTCATCAGAGTCATCGCTGCAGAGAAGGAGCCATCGCCGTTGTTGCGAAGCCAGCTCACAAGGCCGTCGTTCCCGCTGGCACAGACAATGTCCAGGTCCCCGTCTTCGTCCAAATCCACTGTGGCCAACGAGGTGGGGCTGCGAAGGACGGAGGATACCGCCTGTGCTGGCCCAAACTTGCCGGTTCCATCGTTGGCAAACCACAGCACCGTGTTGTCATACGCGTTGCACACGACAATATCGAGACTAGCATCGCCGTTGAGATCGGCAACCTGCACATCGCGTGGGCTAGCCAGCTGGGCATGAATGATGCCATCGGTTTCCAGGGCAAAGCTGCTGCCGCCCTGGTTGCGTAGCCAGTACAGCGTGCCGTCGCTGCTGCCAGCGGTGATCACATCCACAAAGCCATCCTGATCCAAGTCTCCCGTCCGAACGACGTGGGGGCCATTCACGTTGAGCTCGAGGTCGATTTTGCTACCAAAAGCCGACCCCGTGGACGGAAATTGCACAATCCGGTCCGACAGCGTGCCCGCCGCAAACACGTCCATCTGGCCCGAGGTTCCCATGTCTGCAGCCACGACGTCACGCGCCCCGTTGGTCGTGCCCAGCACCATTTGGTTGGAGAAAACACCGTTATCATTGCGGTACCACGCCACCTTGTCGTCCTGGTAGCTGGCGCTGAGAACGTCCTGATCACCGTCGTTGTCCAAGTCTGCTGTGTAAACCGCCGTGGCGGCGTTAGTCGCCGAGGAAATGGTCTGTGCCGCATCAAAGGTGCCGTTGCCCTGGTTGCGATACCAGATGACCTTGTCATCAAGGTACAGGCCTGCGACCACGTCGAGATGGCCGTCCTGGTTGAGATCCGCCAGATGCACGGCTCGAGGGCCGTTGACACCAGCGCCCACGACCCGGGCGGATGGCACGCTCCACGACAACTGTGGGTTTTGTACCTTGACCGTCTGCCAGAGGGCCAAATGGGCTGCAAGATCTAGCCCGTCGACCCAAACCGATCCACCGCCACTACTATTGAGATGCACATGGTCTGCACTCTCAATCAGCAAGCTCCCCGTGACCTGCGCCGTGATGCTGGGAGGTGCCGTGCAAGCTCCCAGCCCTGCCAGAGCCGCCACCAGGACCAGCACCTCTTGTCTACCCGGCATCACCGGCATCGTGTCAAAGCTCAAACAAGACGCTACAACAGAGCGAGTGAGAGAGAGAGAGAGAGAGTTTGAGAGAGAGAGTTTGAGAGAGTGTTTGAAAGTCTGAGAGAGAGAAACCGGAAAATGGAATTGAGAGAGACACAGAGAGCAAGAAGAGAGAGAGAGAGAGAGAGAGAGAGAGAGAGAGAGAGAGAGAAAGGGAGAGAGGACAAGTTTGGTGACAACAACAACAACAATGACGAGTGGATAATTTATGTCGAACAAAGAGAGGACTACACTGAAACGAAAACGGCAATGACGTGCAGCTTGTCAGACAAACAGGAGTGGACTGGCCTTGGTGCGGCGATGGGGTCATAATCGTGTGGGCGTCCCAGAGTTTTGATCATCAATTTTGGTGAAACCATCACAAGAGAACAAGTCCCCAGGGAACACTATGCAAAAAAAAGGGAAGGAAAAACATATAAAATCCATCACGGCACGGTCGTGTGCGGGCTTCAAAGTCATCAACGGCAGGGCTTCACCCCGTCTGTACTGCTCATCAAGCAGTTGGCCAAAAAAGAGAATAGCCCGTCAAGACAGACACACACACCACAAATCGACTATGCATGAGAAGACACGAGCTCAAATGCAAGGGTCAAGGCCAAAGCAAGGCCAAATCAAAGAAAGGGTTGGACAAATTATTTGTCGCAGCACAGGTGGTCGCCAATTCGTTGGGAAAAGACGCGGGAACCAGTACAAGTCAAAGCCCCAAGGGTGCGTGGGGGGCAGGGGACTGCCAGATGCTTCAACACACTGAGCGCAAGGCGCCTGCAAACCCACAACATGCATTCACATACAGACACAAACATTCGAGCAAACAATGCTAAGGAAGCCCCGGTAAATTTACGCGTGGCTAAGCGCGTTCTGGGCATCGCGCGTGTTGGAGTAGATGTCGTCCGTAGCAGCCAGCTGCTCGACCTGGGCCACGTGGGCCTCCTTCAGAGGCACTGCAGGGGCATAGCGATCATTGGGCAGAGCCACACCACCGTACAAGCCGTCCGACTGGGCGGACATGGCATACATGGGGTTGCTGACGCTGTTGACGTTCAGAGCATAGTGCATGCCCGATTGACGCGAGCCGTAGTGGTTGATGAGCGAGGGCAGGTCGCCAAAGCGAGGCTGCTCGTGCGCCGGGCCCGAAGAGGGCAACAGCTGGTACATGCCATCATCCGTGGCGCGAATCTTCTCATGCAGCACATCGTTCTCGGTCTTGACGCCGAGAATGTGCCATCCGGGAGTAGCCTTGCTGTCACGCACCAAGAAAGTGCCGGGAGCGGCGGTGGCAAGCTCCGAGGAGCAGTCCTGACGAGTCATCTCGGGCTGGTACCACTCGTACAGAGGGTTGCTGACGCCAGGCACAAAGCCCACGGGCAGACTGCCGGGAGTGGCATAGGTGGTGCCGAATGAAGGGTTGTCGTAGTGGCTGCCCTTGCCCTTTTCCGAGTCAACAAAGACGTTGTCGTTCTGGCGCTTGCGAAGGACGACCAGCACCAGGAAGGCAATCAGGACGAGGAGGACAAGGAGGCCAATCACAATGCCGGCAACGGCACCAGAGCCCATCTTGTTGGAGGCAGCCGTGGACTGAGCGCCACTGGGATCGGTGGTGCCATCGGTGAGGGTGACAACCACACGCTGGGTGCTGCTGTGGCCCGTGGCATCCTCGGCCTGCACGTCCAAGTTGTAATCACCCGAGGCAATGTTGGCCATGGCCAGGTTTTGGATGACACTGAGCTCGAATGTACCGCGGATTGTGGTGGAGACCTGGAAGTAGGTTTGCATCACCTGGCTCGAGGAGGAAGCCATGGAAAAGGTAACGTCACCGCCCTCAGGGTCCGAAGCCACAAGAGCCGGCGATAGAACAACCAGATCACCGGCGCTGACTGTCGTAGTGTCCACAGTGGCAGTGTAGGAGCTGGAGCCAAACACGGGTGCCTCATCCTCGTTCTGGATGTTGATGGTCAGCTGTTGCGCCGCATAGTAGTTGACCTCGGAGCCAATCGTCTCGACGGCAACAACGTTAAGCGACTGGGTCTGTACCTCCTCGGCATCAAGAGGCGAGCTCAGCACCAGGTTCAGACCCTGGATGGAGAAGGCATCCGCAGCACGGCGGCGGTTGTCGGCAAACCGCACCGAGTAAGTGGCGGCCTGGTTGTCGTTGCCCTGGAGCACAAACTTACCAACGACGGTACCGACGGACGTGCTCTCCGAGACGGTCAACGAGTTCGAGGGACCATTGGTGCCTTGGAACATGACGGTGACGGGCTGGTTCTCAACCGTGATGGTGATTGAGGTGGTAATGGAGCGCGGGGGGTTGCCGCTGTCCAAAACCACAATGGAGAGCTCAATGGAGGGCTCTGAATCGTAGTTGAGGGGAGAGGCAGCTGTCTGGGAAAGGCGAATGGTGGCATACATGCCCGACGCGTCGTTGGAGAGCGTGAAGCGGTCCTGATGCGATGCCAGGCTGAAGGTGTGCGTCTGCCCTTGGTCAGGGTCTTGGGCGCTGATGGTGCCAATGACACCGCCCAAAGCGAGGTTCTCCTCAACGGTGCCACCCGTGCGCCAGCTGACGCCCGTGGGCAGCTCGTTCAGGTCCTCAAACTCGAGGTAGACGGTGCCCTCAGATTGAACGGTCTCGCCCTTGTACACCAACGTGGCAATGACACTCAGGGCCTGGCGACCGGCGACCTCGGTGCCCTCGTAGTCGAGCAGCGAAGTCAAACGAATGTCCAGGCGGCAGATGGTCGGGGCCGCGGCGTCGGCCTTGGTGCATGAGGTGGGGCCGGCAGCTTCGACATAGTCGGACACAACCGAGAGCTCAAAGTCGGTCGAGTCATGATCCTGGTCAACGGCCACGACGGTACCAACGACCGTACCGATGGTCGCATTCTCATAGATGGTCTCAGGCTGCTCAATGGTGAAATGGCCGGGCATGTCAAAGGCGTCGAGGACGGTGATGGTGAAGGTAGCCGTGGCATACTTCATGGGAGTGCCGTCATCAGCACAACCAATGGTCAGCTCGATGGAGGGGTTGGTCTCATGGTCGAGTTGCTGGCCGGGCAGGGCGTAAAGCTTCATGTCGAGCAGCTCAAAGGTTGGAGTGCTCTCCTGAACAATGGTGCAGGTGACAGTTTGGCCGGCATCCTGGTCCTGAACGGTCACGGTGGCCAGGGCAGCGTTGGTGAGGTTCTCCAAAAACTCGGTCTGAGACAGCTGAATGTTGTAAGGGGCCTCGTTGACGTCCTGGACGGTGATGTCAAAGGCCTTGGTCAAAGTGAGACCCCCGGCATCGGTGGCGGTGATCGTGATGGCCAGAGGGTTCTTGCCAGCCGCATGCAGAGCTTCGTAGTCAAGCTCCTGGGCCGTCTGAAGGGTCGCGCCAACCACCTGGAAGTAAGCGGCATCGGTACCACCCACCGAAAAGGTGTGGGAGTCACCGGCATCCTGGTCCTGGGCAGTGAGGTTGGCCACGACAGTGCCGACGGGCTGGTTCTCAGCAACGACATTGTTGGAGATGGCCACATCAGTGGGAGCTTCGTTCACGTCACCGACGAAAACGTGGACCGAGGCCATGTGTTGCAGACCACCGTCACGCACGCTTACGAGGAGAAGGTAAGAGCTGACACGCTCGTAGTCAAGGGCCTTGCCCACGGTGATGACACCGGTCGACTCGTCAATGAGGAGCACGCCAGCCTCACCCGCGACCTGCGAATACCACTCGTACTGAAGAGAACCGGCCTCATCGGGGTCGTAGGCCATGATGGTGCCGACGACGGTACCGACGGGAGTGTCCTCGGTCACGTTGAAGGTGTAGGTTTCGTTCAGGATGGGGGCGCGGTTGGAAGAGACAATGTCAAAGACGACAGTGCAAGGCGTGGGATGCTGGCCGTTCAGGACGGCTTGCACACCAACGAGGTTATGAAATTCGTAGGGGAGCTCGTTCACATCAAAAGCAATGTTGGCTACGACACGGCCATCAGTGGTAACGGCAAAGGTGGTGCGGTTACCGGCAGTCATGGTGAACTCGAGGTTGTAGTTGGGATCATCCTGCAGGTTGGCGTTGTCAGCATCAAACGTGAAGATGGTGTCACCAGCCTCGTACGAGCCCGAGAGGGTAGTCGAGTACGAGTCTTGCTTAAAGTCGGGACCACAATCGGCGGCATGGGTGTAGTCGTATGACCAGCTGGTGGTGCTTTGCTCGGGCACGCAAACGCGGCAGACGTTGCTGGCTTCGTGGGTACCCTCCAAGACGCAGACGCCATCAATGCTGCACGAGTCGGGATTCGGGGCGCAAGTCGTGGCATTGGCACAGGCGGAGCACACGCCGTCGTAGAACGTAAAGGGAAGACTGGCTTCGCTGACGATCGAGTCGGTGGTGCTCACGGAGATCTCAATGGTCACGAGGTCACCCTGCAGGCCGGCGGGCACGAATACGGCGCGATCGGGAAGCTGGCAAATCACTTCACTCGAGCCGAGAAAGAATGCGCTGCGCGAGGCGGACTCGCCGACCATAAGCACGCTGTCGGACGCAACTGCGGGGCTCGCGATCACCTTGTAGCGGCAGGTGAGGTTTTCGGCGTTCCAAAAGTTGCTGCCGAAAACGGAAATATCCGAGGCACAGGACGCGGCCGCCTTGATGTTGCAGGTCGTGGCGGAGAGCGAGGTGATGACGGGCGCGGACGACTTGTCGACCGAGCAGTCGCGGCCAGAGAAACCAGAGTCGCAGACGCACTTGGCGTTGTTGCAAGCACCGTTGCCGCTGCAGCTGTTGGGGCACAGAGCGTCGGCCACTTCGGTGTTGGGGACGCGGTTACCTTGGTTGTCCGTCTCCCAGGTGGACGTGTTGGACTCGGCGAGGCTAGCGCAGCGGGCGGACATTTGGTCAATGGCGTCATCGATAAATGTCTCATCAGCGGTCAGGGAAAGATCCTCGACGCAACCGTCGACAAAGACGGGGACATTGAGGAGGGAACCAAGGAGGTTGTCACAAGCAGTGGCAGCGGGGCTGGCGTCAAAGGCAGCCTGGCAAAGCTGGCGAGCGGTAGTTTCATCCATTGTCTCATTGGCCGAGACAAAGTCATCGAGGTCAAGATTGAACTCAACGTCATCATCCGAGACGACACGAACGTTCTTGAGGAGATCGGTCACGTCCTCCACATCGGGGCTGGAGAGCAGAGGGCGCACAAATTCAGTGGGAGTGTAGGCGCAAGTCTCGACGGAAGGTCCCTCTTCATAATCCCAGATGGATGAGGGGCGCCAGTTGAAGAGATCGCGGGAGGGGCGCTGTTCCGGCTTGAGTTGGTTGAGGTTGCTTGCCATGTACACGGGAGCATCATCGCCCGAGTTGCCGTTGAAGTTTCCACAGATGCCGACCGTGTTGGATTGGTAGTCGCGACCGGGAGCGGTGGCATACATGTTGGCGGAGCGACCCGAGACGGTGGCCCAAACGCGGCGACCCGACTTGAAGGTGACGGAATAGGTACCAGCACGACCGCCGTTGGTGCCGACCATGGGGTAGGGCCCCTTTTGGCACTCCTTGGAACCGCAAATGAGCTGGTAGGTGATTCGGCCCGAGCAGGCAGACACGTAAAAGATGTCGTTGCCTTCCTTGGCCGCAAAGCCGCAGTGCACGGCCGGGTAGCCAAGGGCAGCGACCTGAACTTCAAAGTCCTGACGCGGGTTGGCATAGTTGCGGTTGGCGTAAAAGACATAAGTGCCGGCGGCGTAGACGTGCCAGTACTTGCCATCGAAGGTGGTGTAATGCGGGTCACCTAAAGCGGAAAGGGAGTTTGACGATGAGAACGATGCGAATGACTGTGTGCTGCGACTGAGGAATTTTTTTTTTTTGCCCGCCTCTCTGCCTTTCGAGTTATACACGTCATCTCAAGCTCCTCGTAGCTCAAGCTTACCGGTACCGGAGCAGTGGCCCGAGGGGCGGGCGCGGGTCGTGACAGTCACATCCTTGGCGTTGAATCCCTTGTAAAAGACAGAGTTGGAAACCGCAGGCTCGGTCTTGAACGTCTCGCTGAGTCCGGGTTCGTCGACAAAGTTCTCGAGAGCCCAAACTAGAGCGCAGGCAAGGAGGAGGAGGAGAAGACGCATAACGCAAAATACATGGCCACCCGTGAGCTGAGCAGCGGTGAAAGGCGAGACCGAGGGATAAAGTCAACAGGGCAAGACTCGGCTTCTTACTTCGGACGAGCTTGACTTGGTTCCACTCTTCCTGGGTCCATTCGACAACGCAGGGGCTCACGGAGAAGCGGTTGGTGTCGGGGTTGGTAAATTGGACGGCAACGGTGCAAGAACCCTCATGGTCAGGGGGACAGATGATGGGCTCGACCAGGCGCAAGTTGACCGTGGCGTTGGAATCCTTGTCAATGGTAAACGACGTCTGGGAAATCACAATCTTCTCACGACCTAAGTAAGGGGTTGATGGAGCATCAGAGCGTCACGTCAGGCCACCATGACCAACAAGCCCATGGGAAGATAAAGGCTGCATAGCGCATGCATTAAGGAAAGAGAGATGCCAAAAGCAGAACGCCATGTACGATGCCATATGATGTATAACAAAGTGCGATGCCATATCATGTTTGACATAGAGCGATGCCATCTGATACCATGATACATAACATAGAGCGATGCCATATGATACCATGATACATAACATACAGCGATGGCCTATGATACTATGATACTAACATAGAGCGATGCCATATGATACATAACATAGTGCGATGCCATATAATGTATAACATGGTGTGATGCCATACACGAGATAGGATTCACATTATGTCGGAGCAACAAGAGGGACCACTGGCGGGAGGTTTCGTGGGAACCAGAACGTTTGGGTCCGCTCGAGAGAGAGAGAGAGCGAGCGGGCATATGTGTGTCGGTGTGGTGTTGCGCGTCTGGGCTCAAGGACTAGTCTTTGGTTCATAATGTGACCAAGGCGATGGCGCAAGGGGAGGGAGACGTACCAAAAGCGACGGCCGCCAGGGCGGCGAGCAGGGTCAGTCGGGTCAACATCTTGACGATGATGAACCGGAACTTGGCACCCTGAAAGCTTCTTCGTGGGAAAGTGGGCCAGGTGCCCGCAGGCTGTGCAGTTGGTAGCTGTGGGCAGAGAGGCGTCAGAGGTGGTGGAGGTTGAGTAGAGGTGGAAGCGGTTGGTGGGTGGAGTTTCAGAGAGACGGCTGGGGGGGAGGAGGCGAAAGGGGCACAGTAAAGGGAAACCTGTGCAAGTTGCAGAGAGTCGGGTGCAAGCCTTGGTGGTTGTGAGAGAGAGAGGCAAAGTGGGGTCGGGTGGTCAGAGAAGAAGACTGGAGCACACAAGAATACGGCACGCGTGCAGACGGGTGTGGCAATTTTACCTTGTGTTCCCCTTGAGCGCGTGTATGCAAGTGTGACGGGCAGGCGTCGTGGGCGATCGTGGGGATGTCGCGCCGAGCCACGACTGGTATGTAAATCGTTAATGTCAACGTTACGTTTCTATCGTTAAGATACGCATTGCCCTCGCCGCGTTATGCAGGATCCTGCTGATGTACGTGTGTGTGGGAACACAAAGGGGAAAACGTCTTAAACGGGTGCAGGGAGGTGTGGCTCCGGGCTGTGGTGTAACATAAAGTGTGACAAAGCGAAACGGATCTTGCCAGAACAAATCAAGGCAAACTGTGGGTGTTTGTGACTTGATTGTGTACAACCCATTACGGGGATTGCAGCAAATCGCTTGCATCTGTACCTCCCTTGTGGGGGTCTGCAAAATCTGCTGACAAAGAAATGACCCTCTCTTGGTGTTGGCCGCTACCACATTGTATTGATATCCTCTCTAAATTTAAATTTGTTTATAAAGGAGAAAAATGTACAGTTTAGATTTGAGAGCAATCTTGATCTCTCCAAAAAAAAGAGAGAGAAGCTGACACGCACTCAGTCAAAAGAGAGCTTAGCGTGCGTTGAACGAAATAAAGAGACAAGTCCTGTTGGTGATTTGAGCTCAAGCGTAAACTCTTTGCCAAACCAGAGATCAAGTTGATATCCTCTCTTCACACAGAGAATCGTGAGTGAACTCGCTGTCCGCTCAGAGACGAAGAAACATGGACTTTCTGAATTTTTTCTATTTTTTTTCGGCAGACACGCACACACACTTGCGCGCGCGGGGGAGCTGCTCGTTGGCGGCGCACGACAGGGCTTGGATCATCTTTGGGGTTGGGGTGGCAGCTGGTGCTGCTGGGGCCAGAGGTTTGCCTCGGTGTCGGTGCTAGCCCCTGTTGAGTGGGCTGCTGCATTGGTGAACAGTCCTTTTTTCCTGTTGTCGACAGCGTCGGATCGCAGCGACGACGGCATCATGACGGTGCGTGATCCCACGGTGGCCGTGGTGTGTCTTGTCATGGGATCGGCTTTGGCACTGGCAGGCACCATTCTGCTGTGCCACTTTACCACCCTCGACTCGTTCAACACGATTCAAGCGCTTCAAGATCAGCCGCGATCAAAGGTAGGCTACTACTGCTGGCGCATGCCACGCTCACAACACTCATGCACGCCGATGCCCTGACCCTTGGCTTGTTGGCTTGTTGAACCGCAAAACAAAAACAAAAAAAAAAACAGGAATCGGAACAGTACTTTGCCTCTTTTTTCGTCGTTGTGGCCATCTCAAGCGCCATCAATTGTCTCGTCCGATGGTACGGCCCATTACGAGCGAGTTGGAAAGAGCGGGCCAGCGAGAGAGAGAGAGAGAGAGAGAGAGAGAGAGAGAGAGAGAGAGAGAGAGAGAGAGAGAGAGAGAGAGAGAGAGAGAGAGAGAGAGAGAGAGAGAGAGAGAGAGAGAGAGAGAGAGAGAGAGAGAGAGAGAGAGAGAGAGAGAGAGAGAGAGAGAGAGAGGGCAGAAAGAATATGAGTGACAAGGCTTGTTGCACTCTGCTTTTGCTGGAAATTGGTGTTTGCCTCTGCTGCTGACGAAGGATGGGATCTCTTGCAAAACAGGAGCAGCACGGTGGCCGTCAACGTGGGTCTGCTTGCAGCGATTGTCTTTTATGGCTACCCCTTTGAGAACTTGGATGCCGTGCGCCATCTGCTGGAACAGCAAGATGAGACCGATCTTCGCTACCTCGCAGCTGGTTTGTTCGGGCATGCCTCCACCTCCACCCTCCTCCTCGCTTGCCTCTTGCTGCCCACTCACGGGGCGGGGGCTGCTTGATCCGATCAGGTGGTGTGCTTGGCTACGTTGGTGCGGGGTTGTGCTTTATGGCTCCCGTCCTGCGTTGGTATCCGGGTACCATGCACGACGCCAAGGTTCGACGCAAGCACCTCGTTGGAGGAGTTTTTGTCGATTTCCTGTTGGCCCCTCCCCTCTCTCTGTGCCCGCACTCACTGCGTGGCGTCTTGTTTGAATGGCGCCTTGTTGTTAGGTCTATGCCACCACGGCCTTTGTGTGCATCCTTACCCTCATTAGCGCCATCCTAGTTTGGACGTCCGATGCCGTCACGTACGTCATTCATCCCCGTTTCGACCCGGCTCAGCGCCACCATCACAGTCCACAGTGCAACCAGCGTTTGCGGGTTTCTCCCTTTTGCGCACCTCGCATTCATGTGTGTGTTGGTGTACTTGGCATGCAGCATTCCCGGCCTGTTGCAGCGCACCACCCCCGCCGGGCAAGCACAACTGCATCTGCGGGACAGCTTGTTCCACATGGTGGATGTGCAGCTTGTGACGCTCTTCCTCTTTTTGTGCGGCAGCATCTCGGGTCTGTCCGAGTACATGTGGTATGCCACCCTCTTGGCCATTATGAACGGTTTCCCTGTGCTGGCCACCTATTATGACCAGTATGACCAGCTCAAGGAGCTGCATGGCGATGACACCGTCAACACGGTTCGCGCGGCCATCGCCCTCTCCTGGCTCAACTATCTGACCATTGCCATCGTCTGCAACGTCCGCCGCAGCGATCGCTCCGATGGCTACGGTACGTGTCGTTCAGCCTTCCCGTCGAATGATCCGTAAAGCACCCCTCACCTGTTGTGTACTGCCCGTCGTCGCAGCCAATCTCTCCCTGGGTTAAATGGGTGTTCATTTGTCCCACCAGCATCTTGTGGCTGGGAGCGGCCCGCCTTGCAATAATTCATCTTGATTATATCTGGCGATGCCTTCTCGCCTCACAAGTGTCAAGGCATCAAAGACAAAGGGGAAAGACGAAAACGCGTGCACACATCCTTTTGGTGATTGGAACTATCACATGCTGCATTCGATCCGGAAGAACCATTCCTCAGGCCGCACTGGACTGATCCGATCGACAGCCCCCAGCAGCCACAGGGCGGACCACAGCATAGCGGACACTAAACTTTTTTTTTCTTTTTTTTTTTTTTTTTGCGTTCGTTTGTGTGTGTGTGTGTGTGTGTGTGTGTGTGTGTATGTGTGTGTGTGTGTGTGTGTCTCTCTCTCTCTCTCTCTCTCTCAATTTTTTTCTTTAATTTTTGAATTTTTTTTTCTGTGTGTGTGTGTGGGTTTTGCCGCTCGTTCTTCAGGGTCGCGCGTGTCATCCAGAGGTTCTTGGTGCTTGAGGTGCCGGGGTTGGGCCACACTCACACTCACACTCACGCACACGCACACGCACACGCACACACACACGCACGTGGACTTGCTCGTGTCTGTGTTCGGCTGGATTCAGTAGAGGTTAAGTGACGCAAGCTCGACTGGCATCATGGTCTTGACGGCGCGTCAGCAGGAAGAGCTGCAGCTCGCCGTGCATGCGTACCTCGTGGAGGCAGGGCATGCCGAAGCTGCCGCTGCCATGGCCAAATCGGCCAACCTCGGGGACGACGCGGGTGATGCCAAGTACACAGGTCTCCTTGAGAAAAAGTGGACCACCATCACCCGGCTGCAAAAGCGCAACATGGAGCTGCAAGCCGAGGTCGAGGAGCTCCGCTCGTCGGCTCGCGCCCCGCGCTCCCGCACCACCACAAAAATGGAAGAATGGGTCCCCCGCCCGCCTGCCACGTACGTTTGCTTCTCTCTTCGAGCCTCCGATCCCCCCCGCCCCGCGCGTGCCGTTTGGTGCGTGCCACAATCTCCCACATGCACCTCGCTCACATTCCCACTCGACGCATGTACAGGGTGGCCGTCGATGGTCATCGTCTGCCCATCACGGCCGTTGCCATCCATCCGTCCTTTGCCGTCATGGCCAGCGCCTCGGAAGACGCTTCCATCAAGGTCAGCATGTTGTCACTTTGATTCCCCTCTTTAGCTTTTCTCTCCTCGCCTCGCGGCTGGTTCTTGCGGCTGCAGTGCCCAGAGCCCAGAGCACGCCCACCTCCTTGGTGCGTGCGTGCTTGGTGTGTGCGTGCTTGGTGCGCTCACAGCCTGATGTCTGGTGGTTCAGCTGTGGGACATGGAGTCTGGCAACTTTGAACGCTCACTTAAGGGTCACACCAACGCCGTGAACGACATTGCATATGATCGCGAAGGCAATCGTCTCGGTATGCCAACACCCGCCGCATCCAGAGCCCAGTAGCTTCTCCTCACACGATGCCCGTGCCTCATTGCGTTGCGCCTCGCCAGTTTCCTGCTCAACTGACATGACCATCAAGGTGTGGAACATGGACAACTTTACCTGCACCAAAACTCTGTCTGGTAAGATCTCCAAGACTTGCACCATGCTACTATACTGGTGTGCCTCCGCCTCTTGCCTTCCTGTGATCCTTCAGCTCACTCTGCGACTGTACGGGCCAATCCCCTTACTCGTGATATGCAGGCCACGATCACACCGTATCCTCGGTTCGGTTTGATCACACCGGTGATCGGGTCTTCTCCGCGTCTCGCGACAAGACAATTAAAATTTGGGAGCTGGCAACGGGTTACTGCCTTCAGACCCTCCAGGTGCGGGGAGGACCTCGAACAAGACTGTTTCACCGACTAGTATCATCAGCCAGTCCTTAGATGGCACGCCCTCCATTCAACGCTTGCTGTGTTTGTGTTCTCGTTTACAGGGCCACTCAGATTGGGTGCGCAGCATCGACGTGTCAGCCGATGGAGCATGGATCTGCAGTGCTTCGAGTGATCACGTAGGCGTTTGCATCGGGCTCAACTGTCGCACCCACTCTACTCTCCTCTCCCCCAACCTTTTTTGACATTTTTGTTCATCCCACTCCCTGTGTCCTTCCTGGTCTGTCCGTCTTCGACTCTTTGGCAGACGGTGCGAGTGTGGTCCGTGGCCAGCGGCGAGTGCAAACACGTCTGGTCTGATCATGAGCACGTCGTGGAGCATGCCAGCTTTGCGCCGCTGGTAGCCCACGAGGCTTTGAACCTGATGATCTTTGGCTCCGTACGTAGACATGCAAGAGCGTGAGGCAATGCCGACACACTTCAACTGCGTCGGCTCTCACCTGTCATGCTTGGTGGCGAATGTTTCTCTTGACGCGCTGTAGAAGCCTTCGGCTGAGGCTGCTAGCAAGGGTCCCTTTGTGGCATCAGCCAGCCGAGACAAGTCCATTTGCCTATTTGATGTGTCCACTGGGCAACACCTTGCTCGCCTGGTAGGATCTGCTTCGTGCACCACGCCGATGTTCCTCGTGCCACCTGCGTAGCCGTGATGCTCATCTTCATGTATTGACATCGACAGACGGGCCATGACAACTGGGTGCGCGCTACGGCCTGGAGCCGGGGCGGCCGCTATCTTTTCTCAGTGGCAGATGATAAGGTACGTCAGAGGCCCTGCTGCTGGGTAGCCTCCCACGAGAGCCTTTTCAATCAAGAGCACCGTCTTTCACGCTCCCCGTGCCTTGAATAATTTTAGACGATGCGCGTGTGGGATATCGCTACCAAGCGCGTTAGCAAGACCATCCCTGCGCACAACCACTTTGTCTCCTGCATTGGTAAGCCCAGCTGTGTGTTCTACTGGCGTTTGTTCAGAACGTGTTTGTTGCCTCACGCAATCTCATGTCGAATGCCTGCCCGCGCACGGTTGCGCCAGCCGTACATGCCAAGAACACCCACGTCGTGACTGGAAGTGTCGACCTCAAGGTCAAGGTCTGGGAATGTAACTGAGCACAAAGAGAAAAACACAAGGCCTTTTGCAGATAGACCGCGCCACCGGCCCCGCCAGAAATTGAGTCAGTGTTTGATTTTTTTTTTTTTTTTTTTTTTTTTGAAACACATGCAAGCTCTTTGAACGAAGGGACGGGCCATGTAGGCGTGGGCGACAAAGGGGGTGCAGAAACCAGCTGCAAGAAAGAGCAACAGAATCACAAGCAGATGGCATGCGATGCCTTGAGCTCGAATGAGACGTGAGCGGTGGGCAGATAAAGATAAGAGCAACACGCGGCTCAAGCGGAGGGCTGTGCCGCCTTTTCTGCTGCCAAGCGAGCTTCTTCACGTTCAAGAAACTCGCGCTTCCATTGACGTTTTGCTTGCTGGAGCTCGCGCGCCGTCTTGGTGTCATACAAACACTCATCTCCGCCTAGCGTGATGCCCGTGGTGCGTTGGGCGAGGGAACGTCAGACCAGCATGCAAAGTGGCAAGCAAAACTAGGTGGCCGGCTCACCGTCGCGGGCTTGACGCCCGAGCACCATGGCCATGTTGGCAATCTTGAGCATGAGAAAGATGGTGAGGGTGGCGGCAATGATGCGAAAGCGCCCGTAGGCTTGATTTAGCACCCCCAAGCTAGTCAGAAGTGATTGGTGAGACCGGGTGCGACGAGCCAGCAAACAGAGGGCGAGTCAAGACGAGGCCGCAAAAGACCGACCTCACAGTCTGCGGGAGCTTGTGGGGCCAGTACTTCAGTGTCGCGACCAGGACAAACTAAGATTCAAAGGCCAGGGCAGTGGTGTGAGAAGGACGAGAGACCAAATTCAAGACACGACAAAGGCGTCCCACCTTGTGGGCGAAGGTAAGGGTAGTTTGGTTGGCCACGTAATCACTGGGGTTACGGCCCGCCGCCTTGATGACGCTGCTTGCTGCTGCCCCGGTAGTGGAGGTAGTGGCCTGTGCTCGGCGCAAGGTCGGCAGGATGTAAGATCAGGGGCAGGGAGAAGCACTGACTCGCAATGTCGAAGTTAGGGTCTGGCGACACATGGAAAAGCTTACAACACCGTGCGTGCTATTTTCAGAGGCTGGTCGCGGTGTTTCCTGGTGTGCGAGGCGGCGGCCCGGGCGAGGCAGGACCATGGGGCGGCGGGGTAGGGCTAGCATCCAGCGGGACAACGGGTTGGTGCTGAGAGGAGCTTGACTCGAGACGGCAGCCCCGCGCAGGGCGCAGAGGGCTGGGTTCACTAGGCCACGCAGCCCAGTGGGCTTGAACAAGACTGTCGCCATGGCGATGACCTGCTAGTCAGGACGGCACAAAGGCATGGGCCAGCAGAGCAGTTCATAAGTGAGAATGAGGTCCGAATGAGGTCCTCGTCGATGGTCAAACGAGCACATGGCGGCTCCTTCTTGGCCGCTGCCAGCCGGCCGTGCATGGACTCACTGTTGGAGGATAAACGCGTCAAATGCCACGGAGAAAGCTGATTGAGTGCAAAGAAGCTAAAAAAAAAGGGCAAGGGGAAAGGTGGGCGTGAGGCGAGGCGAGCACATCGAGGCCGCACATGCACTGGTGGATGCGACTGGCGTGCACGACTGGCTCACAAGGAGCGCATAAGCCGCCGTCTCCCTTCTCAGGAGCCAAGACTGTGCCTATCCTGCCTTTTCCCGAGCCCAGTTTGACCACACCCGTATTCACATTGTTGTTATGATAAAACAGGGTGGGCGGAAGGCATTGTATGGCCCGTGACCTCGGGCCGCTGCCATCCAGTGAGCTCTCACAGCGGGCGTGTGCGAGCCAGCGCGCGTTCTCTTACCAAAGCAGAAAAGTGCAAGTGCCTGACACCCCTTTGTTGTTGTCAATTGAAACATTCCCTGGGAAATAACAGTTCTTGCCTGGGAAATAAACTTTTTTTGATGAAAGCGCAAACTTGAAAAGAGCCCTGGGAAATAACATTTTGCGATCCGAGGTTTGCGGTAAGAATGGCGCGCGTCCTCGTGTGTGCTGGCGGTCGGCTCGGCCAAGTCGTTGGCGGATGACTCGTCGATCGATTGGGCTCGGGTGTGGAGCGGGGTTGCAAGAGAAGAGGCAGGCCACACGTCAACAACTGGACCAGATCCTGGGCAGAGGAGACGGGTGGCTTTGCCTTTTTTCCCCGGTATTTCTCTTTTTTTTTAAAAAAAATTTAATGTCTCTGCTTGTGACGGGCAGCCATCGGTGGTGTTTGGCTCGTGGCCTCATGCCATAACATGCTGTGACATGTGATTCCCTTTTCGTAGATTTCCGTGCGAGTGCCAGAGGGCGGGTGAAGAGGCGCCCGATTAGCAGCCTCTATTCTCAGCCACCCTCTAGGAACAGCACAACATGGTGGCACCAACCGTGCTTGTCGTGGGCGTGGTGGCCTTTGTCGCTGGCCTGGCGTCCATCGCCAGCGTGGGCTATCTGGGAACGCACCACAAGACCCCGGAGCGTCATTATGTTGTTGCCGTCGACGCCGGCTCGTCGCACTCTGAATTCTTCGTCTACTCGTGGCAGCCCTCGGCCACAAACGTGTCCACCGCGGTGCAAGAGGTGAACATTACCCAAGAGGACATCACCTGTGGCGTCAAACCCGGGATTTCTAGCTACAGCAGCAACCCGGCCCAAGCAGCTGCTGCCATCCAGGACTGCCTGTCCGCGTGCAAAACGGTGATTCCGGCCCACCGCGTACCCCTCACCCCGGTCATGCTGCGGGCCACCGCGGGTATGCGGGTCCTTGAGCAGGACAACGCATCCGAGGCCCAGGCCATCCTGGATGCTTTGACCGCCGCCTTCACGGCTGCTGGTTTTGCCAACGAATCGTCAGCCCAGATCCTGCCTGGTCAGCTCGAGGGGGCTTATGGCTGGATTACTGCCAATTATGCCGGTGAAACCATTGGATTCGACCAGGCTCGCTCCGGCGTCACCGTGGGTGCTATGGACATGGGCGGGGCATCGACCCAGATTACCTTTCAGGTCCCCGCGGCAACTCATCTCGAGGCCTCGGATCGCTTTGACATGACTCTTTTTGGTCTCGATGACGTCCTCTACACGCATAGCTATTTGTGCTTTGGCGTCAACGCGGCCCGTGATCGCCTTACCGCCCAGACCATCGTGGCTGAGCGGGGTGGCGTCATCCCACAAAATAACACCATCGTCATCCCCGACCCCTGCCGCCCCATTGGTACCTATCATGGCTACACTTGGGCCGAGATTGACGCGCTTCGCTCCAGCTATTGCACCGAGCAATTTCCCCTCGAGGGCCTGGATGATGTTCTCTTGCAAGGCGCCTCCAATGCGACCTCTTGCAATGCTGCCGTTGACACTTTGCTACAACGCACAGATGTGGAGACGGTGGGCCAGTTTCAGCCCCAACAAGATGGCGGCATGTCTTTCTTTGCCTTCTCCAGCTACTATTACACGGCCGACTTTTTGTGCACCTTTATTGCTCAACCTGGAGATTGCCAACGCCCTGCTTACGACACTGCTAGTTGGGTCGTCTCGCCGGCCGCACTGGCACGTCTTGCTGATGCTACCTGTCTCGCCAACTTTTCACAGCTTGCCGAGCTGACCAAGAGCGATCCCAGCCTCAACGATTATCTCGATACTTACTGCTTTTCCGCCGCCTACTTTGTGCGCATGACGCGTGACCTCAAGTTTGCCAACAGCAGCCAGCAAATTCACTTTGTGGGTGACGTCAACGGCACCGATGCCGGTACGTTGTGGACCTGAGTGATGGATATTGTGCTGTTTATGCTGCCTGGGGGGCAATACGTGTTGTGCGCATCAAACGGCATGATAACCTCGACTCAACGATAGGGTGGACGCTGGGTGCCGTGTTGGCCGAGGCTACCTTTGAAGCCAACCCCAAGCCAGGGTTCAAGGCTTCGCATTCGGCTGTGGTTGCAGGTTCGGTGGCTTTGGCCCACGTTCGTGGTTTGATGGATCATTCATTGGTTGAAAACTCATCATCCTCTTCGTGTTGCTTGGGCTTAGGTGCAACGATCGGTGGTCTGTTGGTCTGCCTCGGGGCTAGTATCTTCATCTATTGGGTGGTCCAGCGTAAGCGTGAGTCAGACTATGAGCCACTTAACAACGTCTCGCCACGCAGAAACTAATGGGCAGCAGCCTCTGTGCGGTTGCTCTCAACATATTTGGTCAATTGTATATTTTGTAAATGAACAGCCAAAGTCAAAGAATACCAAGGAGGGGCAAAAAAAAAAAAGAAGAAAGAGAGATAGAGAGGAAGAGCGAGGGTAGAAGAACAGATCATAGGCGTGACGAATCCTGCGGCACACTTAGATACGCGAGGAGCTTGCGAGTCCCTGGACCGTCTACGAGCAATAAAGGGCAAACCAGCAAAAGGTGCGTGAGCGTTGATACCTAGGACGTGCCCTTCCAGATGGAATGACAAGTAGGAAATGGCAGTGCATGCAGACATACCTCGGTGAGGTTCACGCCCGTTAGTGCCTGAACGGCCGGGGGCAGTTGGCTGACCAGCTTGGAGATCTAGAATGTATAGATGATCGGGAATGTAGTTGACAAGCAACAGCGCATGAGAACGGCAGGCAAAAGGCGTGGCGAGGATAGTATGTTGGATATTTTATACTCGGGAGGGGGGCGTGGGGACAAAAGCCAGGGGGACACAGCAACGAGCGATAGAAAGTGGCAACAGAGCACAGCATGCGAGGGGAGGAGGCATACCTCGCCGGTCATGGACTCATCACCACTGACGAGCACAATTTCCTTGGTCTTGGCCAGGGGCGCGGAGATTTCCGCCGCAATCTTGGGCAGCGCCTCCAGGACGAGCGAGACGGTAGCGGCATCACCGTACTTCTGGAAAGCAGTGGCCCGCGCAGCCATGGCTGCGGCCTCGGCCTCACCCTTGGCCTGGATGGCAAAGGCCTCGGCAGCACCGACAGCCTTGATACTCTCAGCCTCACCCTGGGCTCGCAGCACCGCGCGAGTACGGTTACCCTCGGCCAGCGTCTCCACCTGCGATGCGAATAAACGAGCACAATGATGGTAACGTGAGAGTTGTCCGATGAAATGAGATCTCAAAAAAAAGAAAAAAGAAAAAAAAAAAAAAAAAAAAAAAAAAAAAAAAAAAAAAAAAAGGACACCTCTCTTTTGAAAACAGGTGACTGACCTTGAAGCGCTCGGCTTCGGCGGGGCGGTTGACGGTGGCCACCAGCTCCTTCTCCTTGCGGATGACTTCTTGTTGTTCGACCTGTTCAGCGTATCACAAGGGCGGTAGCGATGAGCCGAGCTGGGCCATGGTCAGAGCGCGGGGAAGGATGGCACCAACCTCGATTTCGCGATGCGTCTCGACGACCTCGATTTCGACCTGTTCCTTACGGATATCCTGACGGCACTTGGCCGATTGCAGAGTAAAGGCCAGATCGGCATCGGCGCGAGCACGGTTCACCTCCTCGTCAAAAGCGGCCTGTTGCATCATGTACTGTCGATCCGAGTTGGCAATGGCGGTATCGGCATCGTAGCGAGCGGCCATGCGCTGCTTCTGGCAAGTGGACTCGGCAATGCCGGAGTCACGGATGGCCTCGGCCTTGCCAATGTCGGCATCGCGCTGGACGGCAGCAGTGGGACCCTTGCCCAGAGACTCGAGGTACTGGACAGAGTCCACCACGTCCTTGATAGTGAAGCTCAGGATTTCAAGACCTGGCAGGCGTTGAGTCAGAACGAGGGAGGAGCTGTCAATCAAAAGCTGGGCAAAGTTGACACGACAAAGTCAGACACGGAGAATGTTTGGGAAAAGAGCACAGGCGTACCCATCTTGGCGATATCCGGGGAGGCCACTTCGCGAACGAGGCGGGCAAAAGATTCACGATCCTTGTAAATCTCCTCCACGGTCAAAGTACCAAGAATGGCACGGAGATGACCCTCGAGGGTCTGGAGGATGGTGTCCTCGATCTGTGAACGGGACTTGCCAACAAACTGTTCCAATGCCTTTTTCATAAACGCATCGCGCTCGCCCCCAGCAGCGTCCTAAGGGACCACAAGCAAAACAGTGGACCGGCAGGGGATGAATTTTGCGGGTCGGTCATATTGAAAAGCGGGGCCGGAAATGACGAGGCTACAGGAGTCTCAGATGAAAAACAAGACGACGCACATCTGTCATGTGATCCTCTGCCATAACCATAACTTGGGCGGCTGCTGTAACGGTGACGGCAACACCCTGTTTTGTCTCGACTGGAAACAAGGTCTCGATGTGAGAGGCAGTGCTGACCCGACGCCATGCCAAGAGGCGGCAGGTAGGCTACGGTGGGACAAAAAGGTACATCGCACCTTCTTCGCAACGGGGCAGAAGAGTCATGACATTCAAGGAAAGTCTA